GCGTGTTCTCGTGACGTAGTGTAGATGCTCAGCAGCGGCGTGTTCCGCTTCCATTTCCCAGGTGAAACCTCTCTACCAGTTGCCATTTGTTTGCCTTGGAAGTTGGAAACCAATCGGTCTCTGGGAGTTTGAGGCTAACGAGTCTCTTCTGCCGCAGGCATTGCATCCGTTCGCGGAGGACGACACGTGCAGAACGAGCCAAGGGTCGCCAGCGTTCCAGCCCCCGGAGATTGCCAATGGCCTTGACACCTTTTCGGGCTTTAAAGTAGACATCTGGTCTGCGGGGGTCACGCTGTAAGTGCCCCTGCAGCGCCCCGGAACCGCAGCGAAGCACTAGAAGCCCGCGAAGAGCTCAGCCTTGTGCCGTCTGCTGTCGTGGCTGCTCTTCTGGGTGGTGTTTGAGGGGAGCGGGGAGGGGGTACGTGTGGTGGTCCCTTCTCTGGGTGGGTTTGTTCCCCAAAGTAGTTGTGATGGAAGGCATCTTTGCTCTCGGGGGTAACTCTGCCAGCCGTTTCTCGGCATCCGGGATGCACGGCTACTGTAATAATAGAGACCACAAGTATCCCCAGCCTTTATTCTTAAGTTTCTTCCATCCCAGCCTGTCGGGGAGATGTCGTGGTGGTTTTCACTCGTGTGAATGAAGGGGCTGTGATAAGGAAGACCGAGTTTTAAGAGACCTTCCAAATACTGTCAGATATTCATCTCTTCATTTCCTCTTGGCGTACGCAGTCACGTAAGAACTGTTCCGTGGGCTTTTCCTCATGCAGCTTCTCCTTCTGCCTCTACAGATACAACATCACAACGGGTCTGTACCCCTTCGAAGGGGATAATATCTATAAGTTATTTGAAAACATCGGGAAAGGTGACTACACGATTCCAGAGGATTGTGGCCCTCCGCTCTCGGACTTGTTGAGAGGTGAGTCTCCCAACTGCCTCGAAACGGGTCATGCTTAGAGATGCAGCAGATGCGCAGCTTGCTTAGTGCCAGGGGGGAGCGTCATTCCAGGTATCCTGGGAAGATGCAGGATGCTGTCAGAAAGGGAGGTTATGCCTGTGAACCTTGTGGGAGTTTGGGCGGTCTTTAACATGGGTATCTTTGAGATACACGACCCCTGCACGGGTTGCAGTCACTGCTCTACGAAGGGCTGGTTCTTGCATTGTGTTTCTTGTGATGTGGGAACCTTTTGAATCTAAAGACAAGGCCCACAGGAAGTTAAATTTAAAACATCGTCGCACTGATGAAGGTTTTGCAAGTGAGAACACTCGGACTCCTTGCCTGAGCTTTCTCTCATGTGAAATAGTGCTCAGCTTCTGCTCTCCTCATCAGCTGCCCCTCTGAATTCATTTGCTTCAGTCCCAGCTGTCGTCTCCTTCCCCCCAGTTTGGAGTTGCACAGACATGGGAGCAGCGCCTGGTGCTGCTTTCCCGACAGGGCTGTGGTAGGGAGAGGAGTGGCGCTTCCTGGGCAGGAGGAGAGGGTTGTGGGGTGTTTGGTTCCTGGCACTTCCAGCGACAGCGTAAGGTTTGGCGTTGAACCGTCTCCGCCTCTGAAAGCGCGATAGGCAGGGCAGCAGCCGTGT